TGAGCGTAACGTTAAGACTGAACCAATCAACACCTGCTTGTGTAATAACATTAATATCTGCAAGTAGAATTGCACTATACTGTGCATATTATATTCACAAAAGGGTAACAAGAACCAGGAAAAGCTTTGACAAAAATATTGGAGCATGAATAAAAACACTTTTTATTACTGGGTGGGGTCATTCCTAGGATATCGAAGTCCACTAAAGGAGGGAGGGCGTTCTCACATTTAGCTCCTAAACTCTGGAATAGCCTTCCTGATATTGTTCGAGGCTCAGACTCGCTGTCCCAGTTTAAAACTAGATTAAAGACGCATCTCTTTAGCCAAGCATTCACATAATGCTTACCTTTTATACCACTGTTGAATCAGATCGAATGCATTAATATTATGAACAGCAGCTATGCTAATTATTTCCCATCTGCTTTTCTGCTGTTATCTCGGGACGCTAGTCCCGAGGAAAATGGCGTTCGTCAGCTCCATTTTGTATCCAGCCTCTCACGGAGACTTCAGATGCCCCAACACCTGCGATGAGATGACTAAACGCCTGTGAAGAGACGACTCAACGCATGTGAAGAGACGACTCAACACCGGCGATATGTTATGCCCTAAATTAATACATGAATAACTAACTGTATTTTTCTATGTACATTTCTGAGATGCACTTTCTGTAAAGCTGCTTTGAAACAATATGTATTGTGAAAAGCGCTATACAAATAAATTTGAATTGAATTGTATTGGATAATATTATATTTAATAATTTTATTTGTTGGCTGTAAGTAATTTTGCAACTACATGTCAGCTTACTAGAGTATTAGTAGACTGCCTGCTTAATATCTGCTAACACTTATTTTGATGCTCCCCCAACAGACTTTCTACTGAATATGAGTAACCTTGCAAGTACACGTCAATTTATTCTACTAACCCTAACCCTAAAAGTCTACTAATACTCTAATGAGAGTTAGTTGACATGTAGGTGCAATGTTATGTATAGTCAACAGAATATCTAAAGGAGACCATCAAAATAAAAGTGTAACCAATAAGTTGAGTTGTTTGCTGTTGTATGATGCTGTATTTGTGTTTTACCTTTCCTGTAGAGATAGCAGAGGAGCAGTGGAGAACTGTAGTATGACAGAGACCACAGCACTGAGGCCTGAAGGACAACACATGATAGTGATTCAATTTCACATTACAAAACTTGTGGATTTTTTGTTTTGCTTTAGACAGGATCAATTCAGTGAAATCACTTGGTCACTACACAAACTGTAGAGCAAATGTGCATGAAACATCATTGAACTCGTACCCAACCAAGGATGCTGTCTGTGTGCTTCTCCAAACCTCTGGGCTGATAATTCCACCCCTGCAGAAGATAAAGACATGCCAGTTATTATGAGTATCTTTACAAAAGTTTGCACATTTTATGTTTAGCACATAAAAATACCACAGATATTTTACAACAATAAAACATGATCACTTGGTATTAGAAATTGACTCATGATATGCTTGATGAATATATTTGACTGATTTTCTCATTTTTCTACCCTTCAGGAGGAAACAGTGCTCCCGATCATAAACAACTTATTCTTTACATATATTATTTTTCATGTAAAAGCTTTCATTCTGAAGTGAGACAGTATTTGATGCTTACAGTCATTCATATCTTTTTGTTTAATTTTCAAACTTTGTAACCATTTAAATTTTAAAACAACAACACTATTAATATTATTGAAATATTCATAATGAATATTGTGTTTTTACTGTTGTTGTCTAATGATTAAGCTATGTATTTTTGTGCCTCAAGACAGAAATAAAACAGTAAGTTAAAATAATAATTAAAAACACGTGTATATCAACAATTATGGACATAATAACATTATTGCAAAAAACAATATCAGTCAATCTATACAAGTGTTAGCCACCATAGTCGTGATAAATAATAAAGATTGAAAAAGCTTCTTACGTTATTTTTGGAGAGCCAATTAATGAATTTGTATACAGTAGTCACTCACAACACGAAGTTACTACGGTATTTTTAAAAGGATTTTGTTGAATATGTAGATGGTATTGTTTTCATACAGTTTTAATTAGAGTTTCTGTGAAGACGTGGGTAAGAGAAAGAGATGGTGAACACACTATTAATCAATTATTAATGCAACTAAGTACGATACCATGATAATGGCTAACGTCTGATAAACTAAACAGAAACACAATATAAGGCAATCAATCAAAGGTGATCGTGTTGTTATGGTTGCGCTCATGACAGATGGTTTGACTGACCTGTCAGTCGACCATTAGAGCTAAGCTCAATTCAGTTAGCAATGAGCTCTCAGTCCGCCACTCAATGTGTCTCAAAACCGAGTGAGCTGCCTATCTGGGGTTCTAGTTGTTTAGGACATCATTGGCGCATAATACAAACTTTTGAATCAAATCAAATGGCATATGATGCCCAAACTGCTGTCTGAATGGACAGCTCACTATGATTTAGGACTCCGCCAACAACACAATGATGCACTTCCGCACATTCGTGCAAGACTGATCTCGGCAGTGTTTTATTGCTACGGGTCTGTTTGAAGGGGAAGGAAGAGTCCTACCCTGCGGGGCGTTCTGCCGTCGGCTCGTATCTGGTCCGGTGAGCGGTGGATCCGCTGCAGATTGGGCCCAAAAAGGCACCGGAGCCACATCCAGCCGGCCATTCTCACCTCGGTCAGGAACTACGGCGGCGTGTGAGGATCACAGGTACTACAGTAGCGCATACCAAAACGCGACTTTACACGTCACTGTTCGATACATTTCAATACTGGTGTTCAAAACATTATTCTTTACATCGAAAAAAGGAGTTTTATGGAGGGATATAGTAGATAATACTATTCAAATAAATAAATAAATAATAAAATGTTGCAATCAATAAATTAAACGTGATCATAAATAGGCCTAACGCATAAACGCACGCTAGCCTATGTTCTGATATTTTTATATATATATTTTTAATATATATTCATGATATATTGATCTACTTGTGGTTTTATTATAAGTACATTTATGACAAATACATTTATTAATACAAAATAATGATTATATTTGTATAAATATTTTATTACATATTAAATGTATATGCATAATTGTATTTTGAATAGGTATTTTATTATTGAGTCAGGACCGATTATCAATTGAAATGAGTTATATGTAACTTTACGAGACACAATGCACCTTTATGTATGCATAATACATATAATAGCCTACATCAGGTGGTAATACCTAAAATATCATAGTGTACTTAAAAAAAGAAAATGTTCATAAAAATAGGGTCCAATGTACTTTGTTAATAGGCCTAACCCCAGATCAAAAAAAAGTTTTCTAAAATGCAATAAAATCAAGAATCTGTGATTTGTTAATTCTCTTTCAACTTTATTTAACTGACAAAAGTACAAAGAAAAGATTTCCAATGTTTTCACTGAACTTAATTTTATTTTTGTAAATATGAACAGATTTTGATTTTGATGGCTACACTCCAAAAAAAGTTGGGACAGAGGCATGTTTACTGTGTCACTTCACCTTTCCTTTTAATTAGACTTTTTAAGTTTGGAAATTGAGAATACTAATTTTTTTTGTGTGGATTTTATGCCCAATCTCGCCTGATACAAGACATCTGCTCAACAGTCTGTGGTCATCGTTGTCTTACTCTCCTTTTCATGATGGGCCACACATTCTCAATAGGAGACAGATGTGGACTGCAGGCAGGCAGTCAAGCACTCTATGGTGTAGAGTGTCTAAGAAACCACTCTGTTGTAGCACATGCTGAATGAGACCTGGCATTATCTCGCTTCTCATTGATGCCATTAAATGTCTCTTTACAATCCCAATATAGTCAGTGATACCTTCACACGCAAGTCACCCATGCCATTTGCACTGATGCACCCCTATACCATGACAGATGTTTGCTTTTGCACCTGTCACTGATAAAAGTCTGGTTGGTCCCTTTTGTCTTTGGGACTGAGAACTCAATGTCCGTTTTTCCAAAAAACAAGCTTAAACATGGACTCATGACCACAGCACACATTTCCACTGTCTTTTAGACCATCTGAGACAAGCTCTGGCCCAGAGGACTCGGTGGCATCTCTGCATAGAATTTATAGTTTTCTCCTTGCATAACAGAGATTCAAGTGTCATTCCTTGATGCAGCAGCAGACTGTGTTAAATGACAATGCTTGCCAAAGTACTTCTGAGCCCATGTGGCTGTATTTAACAGAGTAGCGTGACGGTTTCTCATGCAGTGTCATCTGAAGGTCACACACATTCAACAGAGGTCTCCTGCCTTGCCCTACACAGACTGAGATTTCTCTGAATCTTGTCACAATATTATGTGACACCTTGCATTGAGAAATGTGATTTCTGAATTGTTTGACAATCCTCTCATGAAATTTGGCACAAAGTGATGAGTCATGACCCATCTTTGCTTTGCTCCTATTACCAATTCATATATTGTGGACTGTTTCAAAAGAGTTTAACTTGGATATTCTATAAGCTTTTCACTTTTATTTTGCTTCTGTCCCAACTTTTTTGGAGTGTGTAGCAGCCATCTAAACCAAAATTGGTTTGTATTTACAAAAGTTGTTCAGTAAAAAAAAAAACATAGGATATATTTTTCTTTGCATTTTGTCAGTTAAATAAGTTGAAAGAGAATTAACAGATCAGATTCTTGATTTTGTTGCATTTTACAAAATGTCTCAACTTTTCTTGATTTGGGGTTGTATAAAGGAATTTTTCCGGCTTGATTATTCACAGGTGTTTTCCACACATTTTGAATTATGCATTGTATTGTGTTGGGTTTTAGGGTTAAAGAAATGTCTGAAAACTTAATAAAAAATGTCCTGGCAGAAAATTACCTATACCGTTTCCATTTTTCTACAGATGTTTTTCGTAGAGTTATTGACATTACAATAAAGTTGCTATAAAAAAAAAAGGTATATAACAAAAAGAAAAAGTTTCTTTGAATGAAGTTTTATATGAAAGAAAGTCATTTTTATAGTAATAACAAAAACAGTTTGCTGTCAAAAGTTAATACACCAGTCATACATATACGTCTCACACATTTATGTACAATTTTATTTCAGATACAGCTGTTTTATCTCAACATCCATTGTACTCAACCACAGCACTGTTTGTATCTGAAATGAGAGAGCATATATGAACAATGACACACATGCACTGTATCCCCCGTATGACCCTCATGTCTCACCTATCTAATTCTTTATATACATCCATTTCACCCGTTGGCTTAAGATCCTAGAGAGAGAGAGAGAGAGAGAGAGAGAGAGAGAGAGAGAGAGAGAGAGAGAGAGAGAGAGAGAGAGAGAGAGAGAGAGAGAGAAACAGGGACAAGGATGAGAAGGGCGGAGACATCTCAGATTTATAGTTTGGCAGAGGTTCGATTCGGTTCATCTGCTAATATCACTAATGCAGGCGTGACAGAACTGGAATGGAATACACACCCACCCACACACACACACACACACACTGTCAAACAGATTGTAAAATGTTGGGACCTGTTTTTTGGAACACACACACACACACACACTATTACTCATTGCTCTGCCTGAGAAGGACTATAATAACTCACCATGTAGACTGCGCCTTGGGGAGGTGTCTGCTGGGAGAAGAGAGGGAGAGAAAGAGGAAGGAAGAAATAGATTTAATAATAGAGCACAGATAGATATACATTGAGAGAGAAAGACAAGGAGAGAGAGAGAGAGAGAATGAAAGATAGAAGGGGTAGTAAAAATAGATTTAATAATACAGCAGGGGAAGGAGAAACAGCAAGGTAGACGGAGAGAAGGAGGAGCTGCGCATTTCAATCACCTGTCTTAGAACGTCAGGATTTTCATAGATGTTCTCCACCTCTCCGGAGTGGTGAGACAGTGATTGCTCGACACCTACAGGAATGAACACAGACACACAGGGGTTTCACATCACATCACACCAAATCCATTGTGGTTTGCTCTGTCCATCATCCTCTGCCAGGGCGAACTGACAGCCTTCAGATCTTTGATGGACTCAGGGGGGAAAAGACAAATGTGAGGCCTTACTTCGGTGGGTGACGCAATAGCCCTGTCTCCATAGCAACACTCCAACAGCTACGGCAATCATGGGTATCAGAAATAGGAGAAATGAGAACGAAGAAACATAAGAGGATGCTGAGACATCTTCTGCTGGGGGGAGTGTGAGAAAGACAGAAAAAGAAAAGCTAAGTTAGGTTACCCATCAGTGTGCAGAAGTGTGTGTGTGTGTGTGTGTGTGCGTGTGTGTGTGTGTGTGTACAGCAACACTCACCTGCAGGTGGCAGTGCAGGGCCTGGAGAAACTGTTGGATCTGCTCAACAAAAGTGTCAATGTGAGTAGACAGGAATGGTTAGAAATGATCTAATTACCTTCAAAAATAAATTATTCATAAATAAATAAATTGATTGATTATCTTAGATATGAAGGAGCCACAGTTGGACAGTGCATGTAACTTTAGAGGCAAACACAGGATGAGGAAGAGAAATGAAACAAAATAAGGGTTTGACTTAATGTTTTTGCATATGGTGAGGTGGCATCATTTATGCAAACAGCGAACAAACAGATGCAGTTCTTATCTATCATTGACAGTCTGAGTCTCTCACATGTTAGCCTACATCTGATGACACTGCTGTGGTTAAAATACTCTCTAACCACGACTTAAACTCTTGGAAATATTAAATAACTGTAAAAAATAAATAAATAATGTATTAAATATTTGTGAATCTTTAGTTTAAAAAAAATCTGAACCATGTTTAAAGGAACAGCTTAAAGGGATAGTTCACCCAAAAATGAAAATTAGCCGATGATTTACTCACCCTCAAGCCAGGTGTATATGACATTCTTCTTTCAGACGAATACAATCAGCGTTATATTAAAAAATGTCCTGGCTCTTCCAAGCTTTATAATGGGAGTGAATGTCCATCAAAGCGCATCCATCCCTGATTAAAGTGCTCGACTGACGGGTTAATAAAGGCCTTCTGAAGTGAAGCGATGCGTTTGTGTAAGAAAAATATTCATATTTAAAACTTTATCGACTAAAATAACTAGCTTCCGGCAGACGGCCGAAGGTTGTGGGTTCGAGTCTTAATACCGGAAGATATCAATACTCACTGCTCCGAATGTGTAGCCTAGAAATCTAGACGCACCCTAGCGGCAGCAAAAATTATTTTGCAGCCAGTGTGGTCTAGCAACTCTCCGTTGGCTTGCGAGCTGAAAAAAAACAAACTCTGGTCAGGCCAATCACATCGTGTTAGAGTTGGTGGGCGGGCTTAACATAATGACAGCAGAGTTGTGACGGTTCCGCGTGATTTCACTGCTACTTGAAAACAAACAAGATGCTACTGGCGAATAGCGGTCTTTCGAATCGGCTTTGCCCGCGACTCTGGAGGACTTGGAGTTAAGAAACGTCACTTAAGTCATTCTTAAAAAAGGAAGATGTGTTCGGAGTTTTGACGACCGGACACGGCAAAAGTTTAATATTTCAACTCAGGCTGGAGGGAAAATGCCTTTTTTTTACAGTCTATGGAAAACGCATGGGACTCATCCACAGCCATTCGTTGCTCTGATTGGTTGTAGCCTATCCTATTGCGTGCAGAGGGATTTTGAAAGACAACTGTTTATCCCGCCCCTCAAATTGAGGCATGCCAATTGTGAGTTCCCAGACCTAACATCTTGATGTAGGTCTGGCTTGCCAGGCTACCGAATGTGTGGTTAACTTGATTAAATGCATAGGACAAATTCCAAGTACTGGTTCTGTGCTCCAATAAAGTGGTGCAGGTATGACGTCACTTTGTAGGCCAAAACGCAGAAGTGAATTAGCATTTTAGCACTTCCGGTTCCATCGTCCCGAAGTCAATGGGTGTTTTTGAATGGGGTTTTGGTTAAACGGCTGAAATAAGGTCTGTGGTGAACACAAGATCAAGACACTTTCACGTTTTATTCTATGACATTAAATACATCAGTATTACCCCACTCGTGTTTTTTTTGAAGCTGTTAGGTGTCTTGAAAAAGGCGATTGCTAACAAGTGGCTAAATGGGACTATACAGAGGCTGTCGAAGAGATTAAACGTCATCACGCTGAACAGGTAAACTCAGTCTGCTTTTACAGCCTCATTATGCTTATAATTGTGCTCTTATAAACTATTCTAATTCAAACATTCTGGGAAAATGTTTTTAGATCAAATCTGAAAGAGTTGTCTGAAGCTTAGTAATGGTGACGTTGAAATCGTGGGACCGTGATGTTGTTCGTTTATAGCCTACCTTCAGCTTTTTACTTCTGGCGACTGCATTTAGGCTTTATAATTCATAAAAGTTGTGTTCATCTGTGATAATTATCTTGATGGACAAAACGTGTAAGTACCATAAACTTTTGTTGATCACATATCTTGTTTTTAGCGATAATCCAAAAGCGTATTGGAAAATCCTATTGGGTTTTTCTCCGGTTGGTGTACAAAGTGATGTCATACCTGCACCACTCTATTGGTCAACGCCACAAATGTGACGGAACCAGTCGTGAAGGACTGTAAAAAAATATGCCATTCTGTGTGACATCGTGACACGGCTTCAGTTGTCGTTTCGTCCACTATGACACACTATACGTCATAAAACAATCAATTCTTGCGTCCAAAGCCCTTTGTCGTTTACGAATCACCACAACACTATATATCAAGCGGATTGTGCCAAAATCAGGCTGATATCGTGTAGTCTGAATCTGGCACAAGTCATTATTTACTGAATATCTTGACATCTGTTCTATCTCTCCTTGGCGAATTCATGAGAGTTTATAGTTGCGCTCCGATTGATAGGGCCTCTGGAGTGTTCACTTATCTCTATTCCCAATGCACAGGAAATCTGTTGAAGTTCACTTAATTTGACAAAATACATTCATTCAGAACTCTCTCCAGTGCCATCACACACACAGAAGAAACTTGAGACGAAACTTGATAATGAACGGAACACACCTCAAGCAGGGATGTCCGATACATGAATAAATAATTAATTGCAAAGATCTGACTCAAAAGAACGATTCATTCTTGGGTCTGACATTCTTCTTCAGACAAACCTATCATATGACTCAGAAGACTTTTCGGACCACTTTTAGGGGCCGTTCAAAAAGAGCACTTTTTTCCCTGTTCCACCCTGTGCTATGCGTTGGTTTAATTTCCACTGCACTGCTTTTCCTTTGTTTTTATATAAACATGCGTTGGATGGACGTGTTTGACCATTGCGTTTGTGTCTCGCTTCTTTTACAGCATTATTTTACCGCTTTCTAAAAACACAGTTCCACTTAAAAACACACCTCTCTTTCTGCGTGGGTGGCTTGATACTTGCATATTTTGAAGTTTGGAAGCCACAATCTTCATTCATTGTAATTTCAAGATAAATAGCAACTAGTAGATTTTTGAAAATTTCTCCTTCTATGTTCCATTGAAAAATGAAATGTATTCAGGTTTGGAATAATTGAATAAATAAATTATGTTGAGTAAACCAGTCCCTTTTCAATAGCAGAACTGCAGAAGATCTATTTTCTGCGCCCTTGCTGCTCTAGAGATTCACAAGCCATGTTTGAAATAATCTATAATGATGGAGTTGGGTTTCATGAAATTGATTGGTCAAGGTACTTAATTGTGCTGCATTATGAAATGTGACCTCACCGGTGACCTACATGATTCCACTAACTAATGTTCCTGTCATTCATTCATTATGAAAATCCAATGAAGCACTGAAGGCATATCACACACAACAAAAATAACTCATTGGAATAAATATTCACCTGCAAGTTTTTAAATGTTGAAGAAGAAAAGTGCCAGACAGAGAGTGAGAAATACATCTTTATCTCACCTATATTGGCCATTGTGACGGTGCACATATATTGCACTGAGTTTCCATTTTTCAGATACAGAGTGCAGGCATAACGTCCTGCCGTCTCGGGGGTCACAGGAAGCGCTACAGAGGTTGTGATCCGGCCCAAAACAGCAGTTGATTTCAGAAAGCGACTGGGATCCTGAACATATGACCATCTCACAGCTTTGACCTGAGATCGCTCTTTGTACGTACAACTCAGATCCAGAGTGGTGCGGGATGGCTTGATATATCCTGAGGGTGAAACAGACAGAGAAATGAAAGCAGAAGATGGTCAGTGAAGGGTTAAAATGATATATATTCATTAAACAGACGGGTGTAGCCGGTCAGCTGCGGTTGACTGTGACTGATGTACAGTGTCTCCTCAAACACAAAGCAACATCAATCCTGAGCTAATTGAGCTCAGTTTTTAACTGTAATCCCACAACCCACAGAGTTGTCAGCGGCAACAAGCAGGTGTAATTACACATAATGAGATCTGTAATGAGGCCTACTAAAAACATTGTGTTAGAGAGAGGGATATATATAGAAGAGAAGAGACAAAAGTAAAAGAATTGAGTGAGGAAACTTTTTCCCTTATGAGGACATAAGGGAAAAAAGATTTCCCAGGGAGGACATACAGTAAGGGGAAAAAGAGATTAAAGTAACAACGGAGGGAGATTGGATTAAAAAAGGGAGCGAAAGATGAAAGTCAAGACACTGACTGATTGACTCTTGGATGCTGAACTACTGTGATTGATATAACAGCTTGTGCAATTATAAAATTAATTCAAGACCAGTGATGCAAGAACATGCAACATTGGAATGACATGAGGGTGAAATAACGATAGGAATTCATTTTTTAAAAACTATATTTAAATTAAATATTTAAAATTAAAGTCACCATGCAATGTTTATTATTAATGATTTATTTGTGCATAATATCATTATTTATTTTTTTAATTAATGTGCTCACCTAATCTTTAATCATAATCAGTGACAGATTGTCAGGATTATGCTCTAGTCTGGTTAGTTTTCTCTGGGTTTTTTCTCAAACGGAAGTCTGCATCCTATGAAGGCTGCATATCTCGGGCTGCCACGTCATCAAATGTCACTGAAGGCCATCTCCTTGGAGGGCAGCCTTCGTTTCGTGTCCTTCTTTCGGCCTGTTTTAAAGGATGCATCGGATGTATCCTTTGCGGCCTTAAATCACCCACAATCCTTTGCAAACATTCCAATTCATGGAAATTAGTCCGGAAATTAGTCCGTACTGAGCTTGTCTGAGTTAAGACAAAAATAATGTTTTCGGTCATGAAAGCATGATGTTAGTTTTTTGCTGTAAATTAATCACTAAACTGCCAATAATGTAAGCCACTGGGAGACTACTGTCATTCACTATATTACATTAATAGAAAGCCAGTTAATATAAAGGTAATACAAAGTATTTTTCCAAATTTAAGTTTTAATTGTATTTTCGTGCCGTGACCGTGCGGGGGCAGAACATGTGTGACGCAGCCATGCACACTTACTAGACCGTCTCATTCTAGCGTTTAATGCTGAGGAGGACTCTAGCCTACAAGCCTCAGAAGGACTGGAAGGACTCGGTCTAGGTAGGTATGCAGCTTTCCGTTTGAGAAGCACCCTCTGTGTTTTGTTTTCATTGTTTCCTGTTATGCTTTGCCTGAGTTCTGATTATGGTCACCTGTTGTTCATTTGGTTACCTCATTACTCCCTGTGTATTTAAAGACCCCCCTGTGTTGAAAATCTAGTTTTTAATGTTGTTTATATTCCTATGTGGTGTATTTAATATGATTTAAGACAAACCATGTGCAAATTCATAAGTCAACACCATTGCTGAGTATTATATACTTAAAACTGCAGTGAAAAAAGATGCGGTTTGAAATCACCTGTGGCTCATTTGCATGTCCATGGTTCCACGTTACATGAAGCAAGGGTGTAGAGTTACATTTAAGCAATTTTAAGGCATAAATAAATATTTTTCACAGGAAAAAACGTTTAAATATGCCATTTTGGTGATCAAGGATGCGTGTTAAGGGATTAAATGATTGACTACATTAAGCCCTTAGTTCAGTTCATTGTTCTGCCTCGTGTGGTTGTCAATACATTTTCTGTCTCCTAAGATTTTTGATTAAAGACTGTTCTTTTTTTTTATCCCCATTCGTCGAGCGCTTACTACAACCCCCATTCCGTTAGAATAGCAGTTATACAACCAATTCCCAATAAACAAAATCAAGTCCCGTCCTACATTTTTCATCGATCAGGAAGTTGTTTCACTTGGATATACATCACAATAGGTAAGAAAATGAATTTCTGTTTCATGCTGACGTTAATATTATATTAATATTGTATTATAGATTTAATAAATTAATTTATTAATAATTATTTAATGATTTAATAATGTTTTTTAAAAATAAATGATTCCTTTATAATATCACACAATAGCATTGAATATCTCAAACTCAGCGCTATGCTGATGCATGTTTTTATATTACATAATATATCAAATAGAAGATGTGAGATAAATTGCTATTCATTCACACACCAAACTCCATCATAGATGTCAAGTCAAAAAGTCTCGATGTACATAAAAAATATTACCATGTAAAACACTCAGTGTGTTGCTTTGGGTGAAAGCCTTGTCATCCAGGAAGACCTCGCACAAGTAGTGTCCTCCATCCGTCAGGGCTGGGCTTAACAGGAAGGAGAAGTTCCCAACAGCAGCCAGGGTGGCGGGGTCTATCAAACTGAGGTGGTGTTTGGTCTTGTTGGTGGAGCTCCTCCTCCAACGGTCAAACTGAAATATGAGCTCCATTCTTTCTGAATCAGGATACTGCCAGTAGAGCAGCACATAGTCACCAAGAATGGGGGGACAGGCTAGAGTGACCAGTGAACGAGAGAGGGCTGCCATAGACCTTGTGTCTCCTGTAGAGGAGAGATTACAAAGGAAGGTATAGTGACATAGGGGAAGAGACTCATTCAACACAAGAGAAAGTCCGAAATACAAAGTACAAGGCAAAAGAGTATAAAAAGGAACTGAAGAAGCCAATCGAGTGAAAAATGGACAGTGATACAAGAACAATATCGTCAATTTGAACTGATCCCGTCCACTGTGCTGCGAGACACTTTAGCCTCCTTGTTCTTGACACAGTCAAGCGAATAGAACATTACGAGTCCCAGAGCAAAGTCATATGGGAGATATCAGAAACGAGACAGGCATGAAAATGGGGATTATGTTATTAAGCTCAGCAAAAGCTCTTCAAGAAACATTCTCCTCTCAGATTTACAGTTTTTCTCAATTGCTAAAACACAATTTCTGAATCCTTGCTCCTTTTTCTGAAAACATTAAACACAAAACCTCATCTTCAAGCACTATTTACAAAACCTCTGACTCTTCTTGCAAAATGAAACTTTCGCCTCAAAACAGTTTTACTTGTGTTCAAAATCAAACACTGCTCTCAAATCATAGACAAAGTGATCAAAATGATATACACTATCAAGCAGTCAGTAAACAATACACCAAAAAATAGAAAACACATTGTTCAAAACATACAGTTCTCGAAAGATATCTATGGACGGCTTTTCTATTTGTAGACTTACCCGTGACACATTACTGTACCATCAAAATTTCAGGGAGAAGTACATTTTTAATCTTAAAACAAATTTCATATTTGTCTGTCATTGTCTTTTGATGAATGAAAACATCATAGTAGCGCAAAATTGATCAGAAATTACTACTCTGCTTTGCTCTTTGCAATTTTATTTGTTCTTCCTCCTTGTACCCCTATTTTTACAGTACAGTGCCCTGCATCTCACAAACGTCTCATTTGTCAGTTCTATTGTTTGATACTGTAATTCTTGTTCTTTGTTGATATGAACCTGCAAGTGCAACCAGTAAAATCTATTGAGCATTCAGTACTGTAACAAATGGTACTGTTACAGTAACGATGTTCGGGGCCATATAATTTGTTCATTGTACAGTATACAGCCTACAATGCACTGTACTACAGTATACAATACTAAAAGGGACAAAAATCAAAGGAGTAAACGTGATCAGTGTGCTTCTTCTTGTCTTTGGGCATCATTTGAAACAGGTTAAATCAATTTTGAGTGGTTGTGTTCAATCAATGACATTTGTTCTCTATTTGTATTTGATCATTGTGTTTACCAGTATGGATGACGTGTGCATTACAGTGCAGAATATGTTTTGAGAATGAGAATGTGTTTAGCGTTTTGCTGAAAAGTCTAAGTAAGATCTGCAAATTGTGTTTTGCCATGTGAAATAGTTTAAGGTATTGACAACAGACTGCACAATTAGCTAAATGAGTTCAGGCAACTGAGAACTTTGTTCAGCCAATGGGTTTTAGTGTTTTAGCAATTGAGAAAAACTGTAATAACCCTGATTAACCATGTGCTGACACAACATTTGGGAAGAACAAACCAAAATAGTTTAAATTAGATTAGATTAAATTGTTGTTCAATCAATCAATAATTAAAGCACGTTGAGGTTAGCTGGAAACAATTCACTGTTCAGTTAGTTAAAAAAACCTGAAGGAGAATATTTAGGTTTGACTAGTGTAGGCTGGGTAAATGGCACATAAGGATGGTCCCATTTTATTCACAATAGTATTCCGGTAACAAAAGAGCCTATTACCTTGTGTCACGTCTGTGAAAGAAAACACAGCTCTCTCTGAAAGAGAAAAAGAAAGAGTGGGAGAGAGAGAGAGAGAGAGAGAGAGAGAGAGAGAGAGAGAGAGAGAGAGAGAGAGAGAGAGAGAGAGAGAGAGAGAGAGAGAGAGAGAGAGAGAGAGAGAGAGAGAGAGAGAGAGAGGAAGTTAGATGCTGTTTATAATGAGGATGAGATATTCCTTGCTTTTTTATGTAGTGTAGTCTCAGATCTGTAACATTGTTTGTATTAAATTATAATAAGCAATCTACATTTTTAGACACAGTGTTACAGTACTGTCTATACTTTTGTTTCATCAGTAAATATAGTTCCAAACAAAGTCCAAGTAAAAATAACCATTACTTCTGCAAGCAACACACAGTAGCTATGTATTCTTGAATTAATCAGTGTTTTTGAATGGCTTGGTTAAGTGAATGATTCAATGACTCATAAAGACTGTGGCTGTGTCCGAAATCGCTGCTGAATAAGTAATTACTTTGTGAACATTAAAAAAGTACATTTGATATAGTGTAAATGTTAGTGGTATGAATGCAATTCAGACGTATTACATTTGTCATTGTCATGCGCCCCAGCGTCAGTTGCGTCACTTAACTATATCATTCACAAATCATCTCCTGTGGCCTCATGGGATAGTAAAGTGTACATTCGATGCATACTACACAATCTCACCAGTAGTAAGTCATCCCAGTACTTGTTGGCTAATGTTTTATGAATACTGTGAATTTGGACACAGTCTTTTCATATAATGTTTTTGTCTTAAGTATTCAGAATCAGCCTTTCACTTGTTTCTTTTCTGAATGAATCAGTGCTCCAAACAAATCAGTTGAGTGAATGATTCCAATGGGTCACAAGCGGAGTAATACAAAAAGGTGAATTTTGGGGCGATTTGCTCTCCGTGACTCTCTGATTGGTGGAATTTTCTGTACAGCATGATGGGTAATGTAGTCTTTCACCATGTATTCCGTTGTTAAACACGATAATTTTGAAAGTTCAAATAATGCGGACTTGTGGCTTCAGAAAAATCATATACCATCAATTAACAACCACTGAACTCACAGGAGGTCTGTCTTTAAATGTCTATAAGATATCGTTGAAAATCAATTTCCCAAAGGAGGAAATTAATGGAGACTGTTGCACCCTGTACATAAGCCATCATGATGGTGGAAAAAAATATGAGATGGGAGGAAAATTCTATTTGAAACGCAAAGTTTCTCAGGGGAACGCAAAAGTTTTGCAAGCGAACACAATGTGTTTTTTTGAAGGAAAAGAACTCAAGAGAACTCAAAAGTTTTGCGAGTAAACGCGGAAACATTGAAATATTATTGATCCTTTCATCTTTAATCTTAGGGGCTCCAAAATATGAAGTGTATAGGTCTTCTACTGTTAGATAAAATATCTGTTATTTTTTCTTTCATAAGAGAGTGGTTTATTTAACTTTCTGCTTTTTTGCTGCATTCTAGAAAAAAAGGAACATTATATCCCTTCCATCGTGTTTAAAAGATAACATTTAGCTACTAAGCAGATTATCTGACTATAGCGTGTTTCCACAAAATATCTTTAAATCTCACCGTTCACTGTCACATTCACCCTGTGCTCCGAGACAGACGTGTCGTTGTTACCATGGACACGGATTCTGCAGGTATAGACTCCGGTGTCTTTACTGGTGATGCGGGCCAGCTTGCTGAGCAGACTGCCCTTGTCATGGGAGATTTCAGTGTATAGCTGTTCCCCCGAGGAAGACACCCACGTTCCCCAGGCAACCACGGAGGAGGGAGACACCTGAGCTACCAGTCTCAGTGTACTGTCCACTGTGGCAGGGGGCGTGGGAGTGACAGTTACTGCAAAAGAGAGGGAGAAAATGCCTGGAGATATCAGACACATTGAGACATGAAGAATATGGTGTGCATGGTGGGGTTGTGTAGTCTACATTTAATCAGAGCGAGCAGAACAATCCTCTCCTGTAGCTTCTTGTTGTCCTGTTCAATCACACAGGAGTAGCGTCCTTGAGAAGGTGCTGCAGCCCTGAAGATCAGAGAGGCATCCGCAGAGATCTCAAAAGTCCTTCCTCCAAACACTCTGCTACTGCGTCCATTTGTTTGTCCATCGATGCAGTTGGCTGATAACAAATATGACCAGCGATCCTCCCTCGCTGACATCATCTTCCAGGTAACCAGTACAGAAGATTTGGGTGGTGAATCAAAGCAGGATAGGGTGACAGATGAGTCCTCACGTACCATGACCACATCATTCCATAGATTACCTGTAGATCATATTTTTTAAACGCAAGAAGTCAAACACACACACACACACACACACACACACACACACACACACACACACACACACACACACACACACACACACACACACACACACAGTTACTGAAAAGCATGATATTTAAAACATTATATATAAAAAAAATTCTGTCAAGACATTAACTTGAGAAACTTTCATGCTGGGCCAGAAATATATTTAAAAAAATAATTAATTCTTTTGAAAATTACACTGTAAGTTTATCTTTTTTACCCCCTCATTTTCCGTGGAGCCCCTTGAATCCCCTTGCAGACCCCTGCGAGTCCCCAAACCACAGTGTGAAAACCCCTGTAGTGCAGTATAAGCTGCAGTTATCTATGTTAATCAGCGCATGAATATAAGCTCAATTCAATTTAGTGTCTCTGTGGTTCATTTAGATGACAGAGATATCTAGAGATTCTAGTCCCTAAAGTATGTTTGATTTTTTTCGGTATGGAATTAAATGAGCTATACTTGAAAATTGAACTTTTCAGGTTTAACCATAGGGTTTAACTTTATTTCATTTCAGGCCAAATAAAGTGAAAAAAAAAAAATATATACCAGTGATAGCTGTAAAAAAAATATATATATATATATATATAAAAAATTCACACACAACAATTAGATTATACATATTCATGTGTTGTTCTCAGGTCTGCCTGTTGAACCCTGTTCCTGCCGTGCAATAATGTGATCAAATATGAAGGCATACTGTTCAGAACATGTTGCTTCCCAGCTTAATATATATATGAGAGAGAGAGTTATATATATATAATATTAAATATGATCATATAGATGTGCAGATGATGCGTTCTCTTTGATGACTGTAATATTTCTTCACTTTAGGTTGCCTGAAATAAAGTTAAACTTTAAAAATTGCATTTTCAGTATAACTTACTCAACATTTAACACAATACAATACATTACAATATATATATATATATATATTTGCTTTTAAATTTGTTTAGATAGATTTTCATACCTGCCATGAGCGGAGAGATGATAAAGCATGAACCAAAACAAACAAATATGAAAGCATGAAAATAGTTCCCCATGGTGCTGCTAGGAAACAACATTATTAGTTAAAGTGCAAGAGTAGTCTATGTCTTCTTTCTCGCATTTGACCACAAGCATAACAGGAAAATGACCCGACACTAAGTGCTGAGAACAACATGTGACAGAAGCTGATAAACACAACAAATGTCAACACACATATAAAAAAACGGAAGCAATAATACAAACATGGAGGCTGATAAACAGAACACTAATTTATATGCAGCTACAGTATCATAATGAGATAAGTCAGTGTTTTTATCTGCAGTCACATAGTCCTGCTTCTGGCTATAACAAGAATCATATAAGTACAAAATAGGCTATAATAGATCATTTTGGCCTAGTATTCACCTTTTTCCTCACTTCTCCGTGGGGGGCGCCGTAGCCGCGAGTGACTTCCGGTAAGATGCTCTCAACTTCCGTTTAGTAATTGTCATCAGCTATACGACGTTACTGGTCATGGCAAATAGTGGAGGTTCTGGTAGAATTTGTGCCGTTAAAGGCTGTCACAACAGCTACAGAAAGCTAAAAAAACTTCTGGAACATGAGTGTTACGACCACAAGCCAACAAGAAGAGCGGAATGTAACTGCCCAAAACCATTTAAATTGCACAAGATGCCATCCGACGACGAGGGCAAAAGACAATGGCTCGCAGCACTTAATTTGAAATTACCGCCCCGTAATATCCATGTATGCTCATTCCACTTTGTGGACAGACAACCAACAACGGAAAATCCATATCCTGAACTTTGGCTTGGATATGATCGTCCATTAAGAAAGAAGAGAAGACAACGACGAACTTGTCCGGAGGAAGGTGAGAGTGAGACTATTCATTAACGTTATTTACAAGGCTAACGTGCAGGTCTTCACAATTAATCGAAATGTGCCTTATGATACGGATTAAGTGTTTTCAGCGTTTCCTTCAACCCTTCAGTATGTTAACTTGTAACGTTAGCATAAAAGTGTGTTCATTTAACAAATGGCTCTTTAAATGAACCATTCTGACTCCCACGCTCCTGTGTTATAGTGTTTTGATTCAGTATGACGAATCGTTTAAATGAGTCAACTTTACGCTCCACTTTGAGTGTCAATACAGCGCAGTTTATTTTATTTTTTAATTAATGTTGACATATATATTAATATATATATATATGAATGTTGTTTTTACTCTGTTCCACTTTAGTCAAAGAGGTCTGAGTAAATATTTGACTAAATTACTTTGTGTGTGTGGTCTGTTTGTTCATTTGAACAGCTACTGCAGCAGTAATAGATCTTAAATCTTATCACAGCTCGCAATGTTTTGACAAAATAATACCTGTCAGTAATTGTTTATAAGCTCATTAAGGTATGCAGGAAAAACTCAACATTTGGCCCTTCATACATGACATTTAAAAGTGTATTAGTGCTAAACTAAAATTCTGCATGATTATATTCTAAAATATATTAATTTATTAATTGACTAACTTTTTTTATTGTATACAATTTTCAAGAAATCACTTTTCGAAAAAGAAAATATAATGCCCCAGCTAATTATAGATATGGTTATAATGGTTTGTCTGTTTTTACAGGAGCTGGTGTTTATCAAGAAGAGCACACTGGAATGGACGAAGGGAGGCCTGAAGAAGAGAGTCTTGCATCTGTCCCAAGCCCCATGCAATCTAATGTTGATGACCACGGCTGTACATCTAAAAACGTTGCCTCTGTTGGAACACAATGGGAAGACCACATCTTCGAGGAGCATTGTTATAGCAAGAGACAGCACAGAGTAACTTATGTAAACCAGTCAACACAGTGTGATACAATCAAGCCTCTTACTCTGATGAGCGACTCTGACTCAAATCTGTACACCGGGCTCCCACTCCACTCATTTCATACGCTTGTAGCTGTTCTGCGTCCCCATGCGAATGTGGCATACCAGACTGAAGTTGAACAGCAAATCTTGCTCACACTAATGAAGCTGAAATTAAACCTTTTAATAGAAGACCTAGCCATTCGATTTTGTATATCAGTGAGTCAAGTGAGCAGGATCATTTCTTTTTGGATTGACACTATGGCTGTAGTCTTGAAGGATCTAATACCATGGCTCCCCAAAGAAACAATAAGAGCCACAACACCAGAGGCATTTAAGCAACATTATCAGAATGTTACCTGTATCTTAGACTGCAGTGAAAGTGAAATCCAAAAACCAAAGAACCTTGACTCAAGGTCTGAATCGTACAGCCACTACTATGCTTGCAACACTATCAAATACTTAGTGGCTATTGCACCTTGTGGTCTAGTAATGTTCATATCAGCAGCATATGGGGGCCGCTGTAGCGACAAATTTATTACGTGTGACTCTGGCATTCTTGAAAACCTTAAACCGGGTGATGAAGTGATGGCAGATAGGGGTTTTTTGATAAGAGACTTATTGTATGAAAGACAGGTCAACTTGATAATTCCTCACTTCGCCAACCAAACACAGCTGACAGAAGAAAAAGTCACGTGCAGTCGCAGGATTGCAAATGTAAGGATACATGTTGAACGTGCAATTAGGAGACTGAAAGTGTACAAGGTGTTGTCACAAACCTTGCCTATCAACCTTATGCCAAAGATTGATAAAATTCTGCGTATATGTGCAGCTTTAGTGAATCTGCATGGTGACCTGATCCGTGAAGCAGAAAATTAATGCTCAGTCTACATGTAATCAAATTTGTACATATATATTTAATCACAATACTTTACATTTTTAATTCTAAACAAATCTCAATGTTTTCTGTTTTTGTGTACAATGTACATGGATAGATATATAATTGTTAATTTGTTTAAATATTATACAACACTTGTGCAAAACCTGTAAACAAGGAACTACTATCAAATAAATTCAAAATGTTTTTGAAAACTTGCCTTGACACATTGCCAGAACCTTTTTCCTCCTAAATGTCAGGATCTATACACTTATACACAAAAAACGGTTAGTCTTTGTACAAGTTATTTATGCTTTTCTGACTATATGCAGGTATTTGCCATTCAGTTTGAGTCGTCCGGCAATGAATTCATCCACTACTCTAGGAAGCATCACAGAGAAGTAAAAGCCTCTGAGACGAGTAACCTGCTCTGCTACATACTCTGCATCATATGGTACATTTATCAGAATGTGTTCCTTTGATGACCAGACAAGTAGTTTTGCCATTCTTAGCCCAGTACAAAACATGCCTAATTGTATCTGTCTGTAGTAGCCCCTGACTCCATTCCTCTGTAATTCAGGCTTCCCATCAACCGCTTTGATGTCACTATAGCTGCTCATTGTGAAATGGTCTGCTAGAGAGGTGGTATTGTTCTTAGGGATAGGGCACTTTATTTCCAGAAGTTCTACACCACTTATTATGCCATCAGGGCTTGCAGACAGCCATGGCTCTGTCAGGCTGACCCTGGTACCTGAGACGGACACCTGTAGACCTTGTTCTACAAGAAGGTTTCGAGCTATTACCTCTTTCTCACTCCCATACTTTGTAGCCGCATTACCCCGAAAGGTAGGGAAGAGATGCTCTCTCAGGAATTTATCAGGATTTGTTGTTGCTCGTACTGGTACACCTTTAGCTGAACTAGCAGTGATTCTTATCTGTCTTGCACTATGCCAAACCTCTGACAAGCTCTGATTCTGTGTTTGAATCTCCAATATAGCTGCCTGGTCGCTGTTCATCTCTATGTAGTTGCTGTAAAATGCTTTACATTTACTGCAAGTCAAAGTCTCCCCATGTGGCTGGTGGGGTTCTACACTATCAATGTCATCTGCCTGCTCTGGTACATTTGCATTGTAACACTTTTCTAAAAGACTATTTTTTAGTTCAAACAGAGCTTTTGTATCTGAAGAACTGACTCTCTCCCTGAAGTCATGATGCGTGTCATAGCATGGTGTCGGTGCTAGTCTTTCTCCCTCCCTGGCTGATGACGCATCATATACTTCCTCAGCTCTGTGATGTCTAAATGTTATCTGGCTGATTCGTTTTTGTTCATGATTTCTTCTGGTCCCTGCATTCCATCTACGCTGCTCATCAGTGCAAGATATCCCTGTTATACCACTGGCCACTGCATTCTGCACCTTTCAAAAATCAGAGCATATTGTTTACTTCATTACTTATTGCACAGTACATCACCATTAGCACACAAAACGTTTTTTTCAAGCCAAAGAATTTTATTAATTTACATTTATTATTGTTTAAATATTGCTGTAAAAATTAATTATTCAAGTTGAATCACTCTGCACATAGTATTTGCTGTATGTTAAGCCAGACTAGCAGTGTTGCTCTATTTATAAATACCCACCTTCCACAACACAGCAGCAGCATGACTACAAGACCTACCAGGGCCAGCTACGCAGGAGCATCCAGCTGTTTCCACTACTCCGTTATTTTGTACCATAACCCACGCAATGTGATGGGGTTTATTTATAGTCTGACTCGGCTCTACCTCCGCTTTTAAGATTGTGAACTGCTGATGATTATGGCAAAGAATTCGTCCAATTTTGTTACTGTGTAAGTAGTTGTATGCTTCCGTGCTTTTATAATTTCTAAGCTCCTCGCCGTCGACACCCTCAGACAAAACAAGATAATTAAATATGTCAACATATGTGACTGATGGCCATTGTGTCATATCATCAATCCAGGAGGTGGCGCTTGTCAATTTCGTAGGATGAGGGACAGACAAAGTTACGTTTTTAACGGTTTTCGTCAAATAATCTTGCCCGTGCTGCCACCGCAAACTAATGTTGCCATTGCTTGTTGCCATTATTGCCATTAAAATTAAGTAAAAGAGATTACAAACTTTGTTTCAGAAATGTCCAATAACGCCTACATAAACAACATCAAGCTGCGAACCGGAAGTTTTGAGCATCCTGTCTACGCGCACGCGCAAAGCATGACGGGTAGTTTCGCGTCCCGTGAAAAAGGTGAATAAGTATAAAAATGCTAATTTCTGAACTGAAAACCGTAATGTTGGCTGGTCATAAAACTGAACTTGGACTGTGGACTGAGTGGAATGTTAGCCAAGAGTGTGGGAATATGCTTGTAAAAAGAGAGAGAAAGAGAGTGAGAACATAAAAAAAGGATTTAGAGATGTAATCAGAAATGGTCTTCAGCTTCTGGCTAAATGTCTTTACATCCCAGTAAATGTCTTTAATTAAAGTTAACAGACTTATCAGCACCTCGAAGTCCCATTACCAGCTTAGCTTCTAATCACCTCTGAGCTAAAGAATGAGAAAGGGTCTAAAGAAAAGAGATAAAAATAAAGAAAACTGAAATGGAGAAAAGACGGTAGGGGTAAATGAGCTGAGAAACTTCAGAGAGAGCAAAAACTAGGGCAAAGCAGCTAATGAGAGTCAACGTAGCAGAGCCTATTGTCAGGCTACGTGTCATTGGCCCAGTGCAAACGACAGAGAGAATGAGTAAAGAGAGAGAGAGATGCTTCAGTTTTGATTTAATGGGGTGTGGAAGTGACAGAAACTGAATGTGACTGAGGTAGAGTCAAGCACTTCTGCCTTAGGACAGAACTATTTCAGCAATCAGAACTGATCTCACTAACGTATAGGCTAGTTTTGTTCAGTGTGATTGTATTTCGCCTTGTGTAAGCCTGCTTCCACAGCATAGATTCTGAACAAAATCAATGTTCTTTCGGAGATGCAGATATGCAAAACTCCGATGCAATGGTAAAATGTGCCCATGTTTCAACGATGATATGGTTGGCTGTAGTGTCTGTAGTGTTACCAGCAAGGGGAGCGCTAGAGCCACACTAGTTCACCCACAACTCGCAACTTAACTTAATTACCCAAAATATTTACTTGTTCCATTGCATCGTTTTATTATACCTCCACGAAACTCATTATGCTGATTTTATATCTGCTCTTACATTAGCCATTAAGCTTTAGAAACGAAGAGAAAGCACATTTCCAGCAAGAACTGATACAAAAGAAGAGTGCGGGAAAACCAGCAAAAAGACATAGACTGGGTAGACTGGTTTAAATGTTGTTGTTTTCCAGAATACTTTCCAGCATCCAAAAAAAGGCAAAAGAAATACACAGGGAGTTTCGTCATTCGCTATGACGACGAGGGTGTGTAGGCTATTAGCCTACAGAGTGTCTCTGGTATTTAGTGAATACAGCACTTTATACGAAACATGAGAACTGTTAACTGAAAGTAGGACAATTCCTGTCATGATTGGATCGAATTATAGTTTAGTTGCCTGAAACTGAAAGGAGTATAATGGTCAAAACCTTCTAGTTTCTGGAAAGTACCGAGCCTCCACTGGATTTTAGGTGACTTTAATTCAGCGTGACGTACGGCATGACATCACACGACTGTGTCCAATGAGCTTCGCGCTCCTGATAGAGTTTCAACAGAGTCCGATCCCAGGGCGACAGGTTTGAGACTCCGCCGTCTGAGTGCGAGAAACCTCCAACTCACTCACTGGATATTTATTCACCTGTAGGACGCTTCTTACCTGGCCACCGGACACCGCAGTTCGGAGGACAGAAGCTGTTTATACGATTTAAAAGGGATTTTGGACGCTAGATTGTAAACCAACTCAAGAGGGACTGCTGAACAGACTTCAGCGACGCACCTTAACATTAAGTTTCTCTGCTCGCCCATTGAAAGAAACTAGAGAAACCACCTAACAGTTTCTATCTCCATCTGACCGTCTCGATTCTGTACCGAGTTCAACAAGCGGACAACAGACAATTTTTGTAAAGGTGGACTGTCCACCCTTCCCTCCGATGAACATGTCAGGACTGTTAATCGCACTCCTTCTCCTAATTATTCAAGGTAAGACATATTATATGATCTTTGAATAAATAGTATAAGGAATCACAAATTGTTGCCGGTTATAAATCACACTGTTCTCTATCACTTTCATTCAAATAGATAGACTCAGTCAAAGCGATAGTCGGGAGTCATAATAACGTTAAATATCCTTCAGTAATCAGTAAGTTAGGCTATCTTAATCGTGCGCGCGCACATCTCTTACTGAACTCTGACTACATTCATGACTATATTCTTCTTGAAATAAAATGATTAACTATGGCAGTGTTATATAGTATGATGGAAAATAACTTCCCGGTTTGGTCATTAATCTTGTTTCTTTCCCCTGGAGATTGTATGAGTTTGGTTTCGATAAGCGCCATGTTTCTCTAGGTGTGGCCTTGGGAAGTGCTTTTTTCCCCTACGTGTTGACAGGTGTGTTTGTTTGCGAAACTATGGACATTATCCAGTCGTACTTCAGTGCTCTCTCTCCCTCGTACCACATTTCTCCCTGTTCCTCACGTCCTTTGAGTCTTTTCTCCCTTCACATCATATCATATTATTTCCAACTGAAAAGACACGTAAATAAATCCATCAGGCAACAGGGTGTTTCGGACGTTGTATTTATTTTTATAAAAATGTGGATTTCAACTTAGTGTAATTTTAGTCGTATCTCTGAAAGCTATAAAAATCACTTTCAAAACGTCATGTTGTTGAATTTTTAATCAGTTCATTTGACCGACGATCAATCAATTTACCGGTATATTGCCGGTATACCGTCCTTTGTTTCGTCATTTTTCGCCGCACTTCAGCTCCTTTTGATCGTATATTCAGCTGCTCCTCAGTGTCTTTGCAGTTTAATTATTCAGTTGCCATGTCATGGTCCGCAGGTGCACAACACCTGACAGCGAGTGAGCTGAGCTGGTGTGAGTGTCTAACCGAGCATACACACACTGTTAAAGATCTTCAGTAGAACTTGTTATTTTTGATTATAATAAAAGGTATGAATAATTTTGTAATGTATAGGAAAATACATTATGTATTAAAAGGATATGATGTGGTAAAGGTTTGTGACAAAGTAGTAGCCTACTTTATCGTAACTAAATAAGGGGAAAAAAGCAATTTACTCCTTTAACTTATTCATGGTCTGGACCTCTTCTGCCTGGGCCCATTTCACAGTGCATCGGCTGCACTTCAGGAGGAAAACTAGAATAACGAAACAAAGGATTTGTTTTATTTATGAACAGAGCAGCGGAAGAAGGGGTCATGATTGCCTCGCTTAAGCGAACAGTACAAACAGGCCTTGTGTTTTCTTTTTTTCCCTTTCCCTTCGCATCCATTTAGTTCAGTGTCCTGGGAGCTTTTGCCTTTATACACAGCAGTTGCAAAATATTTAAAGGGTCAAAGCATTGTTTTGAGAGCTCGACTCAGTGGCCCCTGCAGACTCATTTTCATTGCTTGCCTATTAAAAACAATCAGACCAACATCATGCACACCAATATAAAAGCCTTATTTTAATAACCTCATTATTACTTTTTAAATTAAGAGCTATACGGACAGGAAGTAGGTTTAACTAGTTTTATGAGTATAGAACTTGAGCCAGTTCATCTTTCTAGTTCCAGACCGAAATGTAGGCTACTAGGAGCAGCAGAGATCTGCACAATAGCAGCTACTGATTGTGTTATAATACCCTCCTAGTGAACACGGGTCAAAAAATGCTTGAACCCGTTGCCATGGAGACGCTGTGTTTTCATTGAAAGCCAGGGTTAGGGGGGCTACTGTAGCAGCGTCTCTGGCTGAATGCATCAAGTGGTCTGTGTGTGTGTGTGTTTGTTTGAGGAGGAGGAGGAGGAGGGGGTTGGGGAAAATGTTAGGCTCCTACGATGATGGAGGCGGAGGCCAAGATGACCTTATTCTAAACTGTGTGAGTACAGCAGTTACAGACGCACACTAACAAGCGCACACAATGATTGGAACATCGCTAGCTCAAGTGGGTTAAACAGTGAAGAAGTGTTGAGTAAACAGGCGAGCTGGTCTCCATTGTTTGCCGTTTCCAGAAACTGAGGAGCATGTAAACAAAAGTTGAACCGACTCTGAAGGTTTTTCAGCTGCCATTCTCTCATCTTCTTCCATTTCTTTCCCTCCCTTCCTCTCTTTTTGCGTCCCTTGCGTCCTTATCCGCTTGCTTTTGTTTGAGCGATGATTGTCATTGGTGTATTCAAACCCCCCCCCCGCCCCACCTCACGCTGACCTCAAGGCCACGCTGTTTATTAGTGTCTGAGCTGGTGAAAGAACGTGGGAGGAGGTGTAGCAGTAGACAGAACTGAAAGACTGTGGAAAGAACATTGATTTTAAAAATGCTGCATTCCTGCAAAAACTCTTACACAAGGTTATCTTGGTACACTCTTTAAAATAAAGGTTTCAAAAGGGGATTTTCACAGTGGGATTTTTGGGGTTCTCTAAAGAACCTTTTAGTGAACAATTCTTAAAAGAACCATTTTTTTTCTTACATGTAAAGAACATTTTAATAATCGAAAGAATTTTTTTTTCACTATAAAGAACCTGTTGTGCAGTGGAAAGATTCCATGAATGTTAGAGCTGCACAATTCTGGATAAATTGAGAATCACTGTTTCTTTGTTTGAAATAGTGATCAAAAATAGATTCTCTCATGATTCTGAATAGACAACTATAAATAACATGTCATTTACTAGAGGTCCTGACAAAATGTCAATTGCTGCTATCTATTTAAAAACATTTAATTAGAATGAATTATTTTAAAAAACTGTTTGTATTAATTACTCAATGACAAATACACTGATACACTGATACGGTTTGCACCAGAGATGTTCCGATACCCTTTTTCCCTTCCCGATTCCGTTACCTGGACTCAGGGTATCGGCCGATACCGAGTACTGATCCGATATCTGGGTGTGTATCTATACAGCTGCAATTCATACTAGCCCTGTATGAATTGATAGAATTATTTTATGGTGTACTGTGCTTCAGACTTATCCCTTAATAAAACATGAACAAATACATACAGTGAACTAGAGTATTTTTATTATCTGACATACATTTCACAGCAATATATTATTTATTTTTCTTAAGTGAAAAAGAACTTAAAATGCAGCCACACATCTAATACTTTAAACTGAAAAAGGTATTTTAGATTTACAATATAACTGTATAAAAAAGTGCAACAAATAAATCTAGGAATCTAAAAAATGATATATGATAAGAAAATAACCTCTTTATACTTTAAAGTCCCGAAACAATTTAGTTAAATACACAGCATTTCAGTTTTGACAGCGGCTGGTCATCCAGAACAATAAACTCGATAATTTTGTCGGTTATATTTATCGCTCGTTGGCTGTCTTTTGAAAACGTTTCTCTTCGTTTGAATGAAGCTTCCAGAGATTGTTGATTCTGGGGCGGCTCATCCTCCGTCTGCCCTTGCCATCGTGTTCTGCGGGGTGACGCGTCTTCAAATGCTTTATTAAGTGTCGAAGCTGCTAATCTTGTGCCACCCCTCGAAATTGCAGAATGCCATATGAGACATGTCACTGTTTTACTGGCTGGTTGGTCCAGTCTGAAATACTGCCAAACAGCGGAGATACTGCTAGCGCGCACTTTCTTCTTCGCTGCTCTAAACATTGGTTGCTTGTGGCAACATCACAACTTCCTGTGTTGCCACAAGCAACCACTGTTTAGAGCAGCGAAGAAGAATTGATCTCCGATTTGCAGCGTTAAGCAAAGCTAGCGTGTATAACTAGTTATTGTTTAAGAAAAGGGTATCGGATCGGTACATGGGTAGAAGTACTCGCCGATACCGATGGCAGAATTTTTATTGGTATCGGCGGCATTTCCGATACAAGTATCGGAATCGGAACAACTCTAGTTTGCACTGATACACAAATACACTGACCACTGCTTTAACTGGGTCAGCAGCAGCACCAATGAAGATCTGAATTTTCGCTGTGATCGTACTTGTCAAAAAATTTAATAGACATAGTCGAATCGTTGCAATTTAGAAATAAGACCACGGGTGTGTGAATCGAGATCGATCTTTTAACGATTAATCTTGCAGCTCTAATGGATGTTATGGTTTCTTCGTGGATACTATAGATGCTGATAAAGAACCTTTATGAGTGTATCTCAGTGGGTTTTGGGAACCTGTAGCTGTGTGAAGTAAGCCATCAGTGATTGTGGATCTCTCATTCTGGTTGCTTGTAGAGATAAGGCTGGATGAGTGATGGGGGATTTGTGGACGGGGGAACCAAAGCTTTTAACACTTGTCGCAAGTCTATGCTTGACATGCAGCTCTGGGAATGAAGTCTGCCGAAATCAATGACTGACCTTGTAATTAACATCAACCTGCACGAATACGGACACTGGAGATTTTCCCGACAAGCTTCGTACGATATCCATGGAACTGATTTATGAGTGACGGGTGAAATATAATATAAGTAACTTTTGTAGTCAGGGTTATTTTCAGAATAGCTTTTTCTTCGTTCAAAAATGGAGCTAAAATGAATCTCGCCTGGTCCTCGAAGCACTTAGAGGACAAGGCTCTTTCAAGCATTTCTTTTCTAACTGCCTCGCTCTATTCTTGTCACTTTCTTTCTCTCGCTCCGCTCCCACTGGTTCAGCAGATGTCAGATCTCAGAATGCTTTTACGGTATTAGAGATTCATGGGGTTGATATGTCCAGTTAATTGGTCCTCATATTTTAGTCTTTTGCCTGGTGATGGAAAGCCAACCGACCATTGTGGCTTTGACAAGATGGTGAGAACTGAAACAAGTGGCAGGGAGGAATGAGAAAGCAGGGTTCTGCTCCTGCTGTGGTTTACCATTTTCGAAAAGTGCCTTATGATCTTGTGGTGGAACTGTTACTGTTTTTATGCATCTAAAATGCAGATAAAACATGATTCAGCGAGACACACACAAAAACATAATGTTATCACACCCCATGCTGGCTGAGTTTACCCCCTTGTCCTATTGCATGCTGGGAGATCAGTGACCCT